GTCGAGTAGATGTGATGTGATATGTCGCTTTATATGGTTGAGATATATCAAATTTGACCATATAGAACCATAAACCAGAACATCCGGGACCGGTTCTCAACGTTGGCCATATTACTCTATGGATGTCGTTTTGCATGCCCCTTATCATATTTCGTAGAGTAGATCTGATTTGATATGTCGCTGGATATGGTTATTAAAGATATCAAATTTTACCACACCGGCCGCCATATGTAGGGTTACCATATGGTATCCTAAAGAAGGACATGTCCTTCTTTTTCAATATTTTGTCTACATCTTCCCTTTGCCCGAAAATGTCCTCTCTTTTAGTCCTTGTATTTTTTCCAGTAACATCCCAAGTAACATTGTAAGTTTTATCGAGGTTTTAAAGCATTCTACAAGTCTAAATTATAGTCTACAGAACCATCATATAACCAAAATTGTTACTTGGGATATTTATAAAATTGTTTTCAAAGAGTTATGTTCTGTTATGTTATGTTTCTAATTATGTCGCAACCAAGTCTTATCTAACAAATGCCATTCGATAGTGGGACCAGCACTATACTACAGCTGTCGACAGGCCTACATTTAGGCTGTGGCATATTTGATGTATTTTCACTTAAATTTGACAAATGGAAAATTTTCAAATAAACCTCCCATTCTACTAGTCTTATTTCTGACAGACCAGGAATCAATTTTGACAAACTATTTCTCAAAAATCGAGCGATCAACAATAGAGGGATTTTCGATCATTTTAATTTATTTTCGAAGAGTCAAATTTCAGTGAAAAATCACAAATGGAACACAGCCTTATACCAACAATCAATACGAAACTAACGATTTTAAATTGGCTCACCACTTTAGTAGCCTATTGGTCCCAAGCAAACGATTAACGTACCCTATTCTAGTTGAAATTCTATTACTACAATATGTTTGTTTTGATTCGCTATGAAAGTTTGACAGATAACATCAGGGGTGTGTGGATTAATGCATAACATGCAGGGGTGAGTGAAATAGCTTGGGACTGCTTGGGACCGTTGTTCTGGTACTGAGTGAGCCAAAAATAATAACGATTTTCTTCGGGACCCAGTGGTCTTAGAGTTATCTCTATGCTTATACCCCGTACAAACTATGGTTATATATGGCCATAGGCTATCTTGCAATGATGGAAATCCTATGTATGCAAGATAGCCTATATTACATGATATCAGCTATAGTCTGAACGTACTATTAAACTGTAATCCAATTGGGGAATTTTCACTTAATTTTGACATTTCGAGAATATCTTATACTAATTGATTGGTCAATTTTCGAGCAGGTGTTTGTCCAAATCGATTACTTGTCTGTCAGAAATAACTCTGATGCAAGACCAGGGTTATATGACAATTTCCTATCTTTAAAATGTAGGTGAAAATTAACCAAATGGAACACAGCCTTAGATTGAATCCAGCATGTGTTTCGATTTTGACATTCTGGTTCAATGGGATTTTAGGTTTTGGTTTAAAGTCCTATGCTGAATGAATGGTAAAATTAATAAGTAGCCTAGAAGTTCCTTTTTCATGTTGGTTTCAATCACCAATGACGTGTATCCTGATTTCTGTACATGATAAAAGTTGGGATGATTTTGAGGCTGTAAAGCTGTAGTTTATATGGATAACAGATAGACTAGATCATTTCCAAGCATCAACAATGAATTATGAAGGCTAGTTTGATGCATATTTCAAAAGTATAACGAGAAGCTGCTAATGATAATTGATAACGACTACTACATATTAACAATCTCAATAGAACCTTTGAAAATCATAAATTTTGTGATAGCGCACATATTATTAACCCGTTTGATAAAAACTCATTGTCATTCTTTAATGTTAAGAAATGGAAATATTCTCCTGCTTTATCTTTAAACCTCAAATGAAATGTTCCTCTTTTCAAGTTTTTGATATGGTAACCCTAGCCATATGGCTCTACGGTTATCATTTTGAGTGCCATTGGTCATATTTCGCCGAGTAGATGTGATTTGAGGGGGTTTGAAGGAAAGGGGTGTAAGTGACTTTGATCGATTCTCTTCATCGACTTTCTCTTTCGTTAATAATTCAGCTGCAAACACATTCCTTGATTCGTGTGCCATTCTGGGTGCTAGATGAGAACCTCCTTTATCAAACTATGTGGCAGAAATAGTGCAAAATCTGTTTATAAAGCTGTGGATATCAAAAGAGAAAGTTGGTCAAGAGAATCGATCAAAGTCACTTACACCCCTTTCCTTCTAACCCTCTTCTTTGATATGGTTATCTGAGATAATAAATTTGACCATATGACCTATCAACCATGGTAGGCATGTGGTCTTATGATTGTTATCTACCATTTCCGGAAGTTCCACGAAAAAAATAATATGTTGTCGCAATGATAAGTAAGATATATGATAAAGATTGCAAAAAACACCCCCGTGCCAACACATTCTTGAATATATAACAAAGAGGGAGGGGGCTTGGGGGGAGTACCAAATTACAGATGTAATAACCACTCACCGGAATGATGTTTACAAATTTTCAATTTAATCGGCACTGGCATCTATGAGATACATTTTTTTTGAAAATAAAAGGTTTGTCCTGGGCTTTTATGGGTTAGTATCTTTAAAATTAAGCGGCAACACAGGATGGTATCTTCGACAAAGTTAAAGTTTTGTTGAATTACTATGCAAAAAACTTCTAATATTTATGATAAATAAATATATTGAAGTGTAAATAATCGATTAATTTACCTTTTAAATTAAAGCAAATATAAATATCTTGACTGATAAACAACTTTGTAGAAGACACCATCTATCCAGCATTAATTATTAAAAAGTTATATTTCAAACAGCATTTTTATCACAGACAAACAGACATATCACTCGAAAGACGTTAGTTGAAAAAGCATTTAACGGACAATTTAAAAGTATCGTAGTTGGTAGTACCGCCACCTGTGGCGCGCATAGTCAATTCCCTTGCGTTTGACCTTTACACACTACCGCCATCTGTTCAGTGTAGTGCCCACCACAGTGTACTCAACAGATGGCGGTAATGTTTTAGCGACGATGTTTTACAGTGTGAAATATTCAATGTGTTATGTCTGTTTGTCTGTGGTTTTATTTTCAACCTGGAGATGTCCCTTTTCATTAAAAAAAAACATAGCCGAAGTTACTAAATCACTTAAATGACTCGTTTTGGAGTTATTAATTTTGTTCCTCTGGATTGCATTCCTGGACCACTGACCACTCAAAAACTCAAATCTCATGCATGAGTTTATGCGCCTATGAGTTTTGCCTTCCAAAATTCAACGTCGCAAAAATCACCGATGAGTTTTCAGGTTCAAAAATTCATTTCTGTGTATGTTGGCGCTAATAATTGTTATTACTATTGTTTGTGCATCAGGGGTTGGAAAACTGACACAACATGCATAAGCATGCTATCAATTGACTGTTGAGAGGATTTTATGAGCTTAAAGCTGGAATGATTTTTCGGCGTTGTGAGTGTGAGTGCGTGAATATGCATGAGGATCTCAAGCGTGAATTTTGTTTGCCGCATTCGCACGCGAGTTTACTCTCGCAAGGAGGCTCAATGAATGAGATTTGAGAATGATTTTCCGAACACTGCCACAGTGCAATGCAATCTTAAAATGAAATTGTATCTCAATTTATTTTCATCTTTAAGCTATCGATTTCTCACTTCAAGTTCAAATTGTTTCTAAAATTCTGCCTTTTTGACCAATTCTTCCCAAAAGCATTGACACAGTGACCTTCGAAAAGTGTGTTGCAGTGTCTTGAAAAAAAAAACAGAAAATTCTCTGTCTTTTAAAACCTTTCGTTATTTCGTCTTTTAATGAATTATGAAAATTTCGGGACTTGGGAAATAAGTTGTGTTCGTAAAACCATACAATCGACTTATTACGTTGTTTTTTTTTTTTAATTTTACTACTATTGTATAATTTTCACTCTCATTAATTCACTATTTACTTTCACTATCACTTTAAAAAAAAAACTATAATAGGTACGTATTTCGATTACTACTTACAAACTTCTTTAGTATATAGTGTCTACTATATGACTAGACACTGAAGTAATTTGCCAGTAGTAAATGAAATACGTAATTGTTATAGTTTTTTTTAATGATAGTGAAAGTGAACAGTGGTTAAAGTGAAAGTGATACAATCCCCCTTATTCTGCGAGTCACGTGACTCTCTGTCACCGGTGAGGTGACAATTGTCACCTCGTGTGAGGTGACTATCCATGTAAATCAAATGGAGAGTCACCTCACACGAGGTGACTATTGTCACCTCACCGGTGAGAGAGAGTCACGTGACTCGCAGAATAGGGGGGAATAGTAGTAGGATTAGAAGGGAAAACAACGTAATAACTACTAAGCGCTCATCAATCAATTTAAACATATGATTGTTCAAGATTCTTGAACACACATAATTTGCTACTGAATCAGTAGGTGGACATTCGCCTCTCTGGCTACGCCCACGTCATTTCCTGTAATCAACCAAAACACATCATTCGGTCAATTATTCAGACAGCAGCCTTCTATTTCTAGTTCAACATTAAACCATCGATTCCGAAGTCGACGCTCATGAAAGTGTAAACAACAACAAACCCTGGCAGGTTAGAGACCTAACTGCGAGCCTGGCTGGCACGAACAAATAAAACATACCGATACCATCGCCCCATGACCATCAATGCAATGCATGTTCTTTACAACTGAGAGCTGACGAAAATCCAAGCAATGGTACGGTTCAGCAAACATTGAAGGCAAGGCAAACTTGTCGGTTGATTTGGTCATACTATCAAAAACATAATTTTTAATTGGACGGAAAACCCTAACTTCTGTCGCAACAACTTGATTGTGACTGAAATTAGCTCCTAAATTAGAACCGTTCAACCACCTGTTTGCTGCTAGGGATTCCCACCGGCTGTGATATTCAATTATTTATGAGTAGTTTTTGTTTCAATTGGTTGATTCTATTTTGCAACTATTTTTTCCACTTTAATATAAAGCATTTACAAAATTCATTTTCATTAATACTTTCAACAAATTCTATTTAAAATAACAGCTTTTGTTTGGCATTCACTGGAAACTCTTCAAAGTTTCTTGACTTAAATGTCTGTACTTCACGTCCACACAAATCATCAAACAGAAAAAAACACTAATTAAATTTTCAATTATACGTTTTGCACCAAACTATTCCACTGCAGCTTTTTAAGTCCGGATGAGTGAAACGACGATCACTTTTTCTGTCTTGGGAAATCCCACTATGATTAAAGCTGAGCACGAACTGTTGGTGGTGATGGCAAGAGTGGTTAGCACCCTTGATCTCTCACTTGGCAAGCAACCAGTTGTTCGAATTTGCACATCGAATCACCGAGCGCGAGCGCGTGTGTATTTGCGAAATTGAGCAAGGAAAATCTTCCACACTTTTTATTCCGCAAACGAAGACTAAAACTCCAGCGTTAAATTTCATCAGGTTGTCACTGACTTCGGCCCCGCGGGTGCATGGCCTACTTCTCCGGTAGCTTGATAATTGGCTTGACAGACGCCTCCCAGTGCTCCTCGCAGTAGTCCACGAGTTTGTCTTCGACCTTGGATAGCACCTCGGTCTGATGGTCCGGGGACCACATCTTCTGGATCAGGGCGCACGATTGCACCGTGCTGGAGCCCAACAGCCGGCTGAGCTTCTCCGCACTGTCGACCTGGTGGGACAAGGAGAGAAAAATAAACTTTTATTAATAACTTGCACTAATGCGGGTTGAAGGGAAAATCTGATGAAACCGCTTCGCGGAAAATCAACCTACCTTGATTATGTAAATGTCGTGCTCGAAGCAGAACGCCTGCAGTAGGACCTCGTGCATATGGGTGGCACTGTCGCCAGGTTTGGGTGGCGCCATAAAGCAAAACAGAAAGTCCTCCGGTGTCTTGGCGAAATTGCTAATCGCATCCGATAAGCCCATAATCAGACGGTTTTCGATTTTAGCGAGTAGCAGCGCGTGCTTTGCCGCCAATCCCGCTTCCACTTCACTGAGGCTATCACTGCTGGCGGCGGCGGCGGCGACGCTGGAGCTGCTCTTCTTGTACTCGAACGATGGCACTTGCGAGCACAGGCTCACCGATTCTCTAACCGCGGCAATCACCATGTTGCTGTTGCTGTTGGTATTCCTTGTGTCACTAGGGGATGATTGCGATCCGCGAAATATTGCGTAATCCAAGGTTTGTATTTGTTTGCTTGTTGATAAATCCGTTGAACACAAAGCGTGAAACTTTGTTGTTATACTTGTATGTGACGACGCGAACTGGTCAGTTGTAAAACACGAAATGATTGTCCGATCGGCCGACGGGAGGCCTCTTATAGATGAGCGACTTTGCGACTCGTGCGTCGTGCGCGAGCGGTTCGGGTTTCAGCACATGCGGTGCTGCCAGATGATTTTCACGTAGCGGAGCTTATTTTAGTTTGTAAATTAGTAGCTCATTATGCTAATTTGGTAATTTATTTTTGCTAATTGTAAACAACAATATTTTGATCTTGTTTTTGGCGCTGGTTGGGTGAATGTTCTTCTCATTCCATCTTTTGAAAGCATATCAATTGAACGTGTTTAAGCTCGTAGATATTGGAAATTCCTGATGCGTATTAAATCAAAACAAACCCTAGAATAGTAATGCTTTTGTTTGTTTTTTAGAATATTTAGCATCTTAAAATTTCGTTAACGAAGAGACTACATTATTTCCAGGAAGTTTAAATACCGCCCAAATAATAAAATTACGTTTTAATAAACCTTCTCAGCAGGAGCTAGGGGCTGTTCATAAACTACGTAGACTGGTTTTGAGAGGTTTTAGTCTCCGCCTTCCCCTGCATAGAAAGTCATCCATACAGATTTTTGGAAATTTGTATGGACCGTACGAAAATAAAAAAAAATCATTTTGAATGTATTCAAACCACATAGATTTAAGCCATTGTTGTATTCGCATAAAGGATAAATATTATTCAAATAGTTGGAGATGCATATCGTCAATGTCAGACTTAAAGTGAAATTTTTATACGATAAGATGAAAGTTTAGAATTGATAGTTTCGTTATAGTACGGCAGTGTTCCAAGTATAAATAGAAAGTAAAAAGCAAGCCAAGGACAATTTGATGAAGGTACGATTCGGATTGAGCATTCCCTTTAGCAAACTCACCTGTTGGTGATGGGTATTTCAAGAGCAAAAGGAATGATCTCCGATTCGCTCATAGGGTACAGCGCTACTTCGTCTTAATAGCCTATTTCCGTTCTATCGATCAGAAAAAAAATCAATAATACCAATGATTTCATCGTGCACAAATCAATAATAGGTTCGTTTCGATGCGGTAGTTCATTACCTACAACATAAATCCTGTTAAAGCGCATCGTATGAATATTTACGCTCATTGTTCTCAAAACAAAAGAAGCGCTCCTAGCGAATCCCCTTTTTCTACGTTTATCCGTAGAACGAAGAAAATCTAATGGGATTCAATACGTTAGGGCGGAATTGAAACTTGTAGAACGAATTTATAATCAAACAATATCTCAACAATTTGTGACTCTCTTTATCAAATCCAACGGTACATATGGAAAGGTGAATAAATTTAGAAGTCATCTTTGACAGAAATACTCTATTTTTTGTTTGAACTTGTTCAGAAAAGAAAGGTAAAGCGCGGGTTGTGCTTAGTATGACGGAAATTAGATCAAAATCCCTATACCTCCGAGTGCGGAAACGGTTCTATCGATTGTGACACACTCAAATCGCCATCTGACTAAGTATCTGAAGCCTGTCCACGTTGAATTTCGGACATGAAGATAATGCCGGGAAAAAAGTCATCACTATTTCAGTTAAGTATACAATTTCAAAGATTATTTTTATGTGTCCCACACATGACTTTTTGCAATGTGATCAACAATGCAATGTTCCGATGTGACATATTTTGGTCACTATATTTATAATGAAGGGATACAACCCGATGCATCTAAATTTTCAGCAATTATAAATTTTCGAACACCCAAAAATGCAGACGACGTTAGAAGGTTCGTCGCATTTTGTAAATAATACAGGCGTTTTATACCCTATTTTGCAGAATTAGTACACACTTTGAACAATTTACTGCGAAAAAATGTTAAATATGATTGGTCTGAAGATTGTAAAAATTCTTTTGAAATTTTGAAACACAAATTAATTTCCCCACAAATTTTGAAATTTCCAGATTTCAAAAAACCTTTCATTTTGAGCACTGATGCGTCTAAAATAGCTTGTGGCGCAATGCTAACTTAACCCTATGGAGACATTTACTTGCCAGTAGCATTTGCAAGTAAGTCTTTTAAAGGGTGATACGGTCAAAATTTGGTCAATATCAACTTGACGTATTTCTTTCAATTTTGCATTTAAAAAACCTGAACACCCCTCATTTTGTAGGTGTGTGTGTGTAGAATGTTGCTCCTATTTTGATTTTGGAATTCACTCTTCAGTTGTCAAAATGCCGTCCAAGCAAGAAGAGCAGCGTATCAAAATTTTGCTCGCGCATCGCGAAAATCCGAGCTACTCGCACGCAAAGTTGGCAAAATCGCTAAAAGTTGCCAAATCAACCGTTACAAATGTAATTAAAGTGTTTGGGGAACGTTTGTCGACAGCCAGGAAGTCTGGATCGGGGGGAAATCGAAAACCGGAAGCCGCTGAGACGACAAAGAGAGTTGCCGGTAGTTTCAAGCGAAACCCTAACCTCTCTCTCCGAGATGCCGCAAATAAGCTGGGTGTATCGTCTACAACCGTGCATCGAGCCAAAAAACGAGCCGGACTATCGACTTACAAGAAGGTAGTGACTCCAAATCGCGATGATAAAAGATAAATAAAAGAAGACCAAAAAAAACTGCTAAGGGCGAGCAGCAGTTCAAGGCAAACTGGCTTTCTGCGGCGAAGAAGGTGGACAAGGTGGCTGTACAAAATCTGATGGCAGGGGTCAAGCGTAAGGCCCGGCAATTCGGATTTGGAAAAGCGGAAGCCTAACTGAATATTTTTCCTGAATTTTATACTAATTGAACTTGAAAAAGAAATTTAATTTGATTTTTTAAATAAACGATTTCACCGATTTACACGCGTTTTCCCTTGACCAAATTTTGACCGTATCACCCTTTACTAAAGGTAAACGAAATAAGTCCACCATAGAACAAGAACTGATCGCAATCCACTGGGCAATTACCTATTTTCGACCATATTTATACGGGAGACGGTTAACAGTGAAAACTGATCACCGGCCTATTTACAATGAAAAACCCCTCGTCTAGATTGACTAGAATTTGAGTAGATTTAGAAGAATTTGATTTCAACATAGAACACATGGAAGGAAAGCTAAATACCAGTGCTGATGCTCTTTCACGTAGGGTAAACGCTCCTATAGTTGCGGTACGTTAGAAGCGTTAGGTTCCTATAGTTGTGTATGGAGACTCCATACACAACTATAGGAACCTAACGCTTCTAACGTACCGCAACTATAGGAGCGTTTCCCCTATAATCGTTGACTCAGATGAACTTAAAACAATCTCCGTTCTACCAATACAGACAAGGTCAATGACAAGAAAGACTACACACAATGTCACTCAAACTCGCAACTCTAAGGCCACGGCCAGGGTAGAGGCGACACACGACGCGACGCGATGCGACTCACGCAAGGAATAATAATAAATAATAAGATTCTAAGGGTACGACCAGGAAAGACGCGATTCGTGACGCGACGCGACCAATTCAAAAGAATCTTATTATTTATTATTATTCCTAGCGTGATTCGCATCGCGTCTCGTGTCGCGTCTACCCTGGCCACGGCCTAATGCTGATCACGTTAGAGCATACGATTCAGTGAATAACATTGACTTGATGATTAAGACTTTAGCACGACTTTTTGCAGTGAAATTTTGCTTATCATTACGATTAGCCCGCATCTCACTGCGTCCTAGCAAGAAGAACGGTTGACTTGTTTCGCGCTCCGTTAATTTGGAAGTTTTCTCGCTATTATCTGACGTAAATAATCAGTTTTTTCTCGCTTAGTGATTCCTGGCATAATTCCCGATAAATTTATCAAAAAGTGAGTTTTTTTTCTGAGACGAAAGTGTGTTTTCGGCATCATCGGAAGGAAAATTGTTTTTGCGATTGCCAATTCGCCAACCATTTTGCGCACCATCGGTGCGTGGTCACGCATACCTGTGCACACGGATCATCGTCATCGAGTGTCAGCATCTGCCTCCACATTCAAACCGCTCATCCATCTCGTGTGTTCAGCTGAGTGCCGAGCTTCATACAAGCACACACCAACGAAGACCGCCCGCACACGCGGATCGAAGATCATCAAAGCTGCGCGTCGCTCCGCTGCTGCTGTGTAAACGCTCGGTGGTAGTAGTATAGGATTATCAGATAAGTTTTTGTTCTTGTTTCTTTCTCTCTCCCATCAGTTAAATTTTAAGTTTGTGTTTCTGTGTTTGTATTTTTTTTTTCTCGTGTATTGTGTCCGAGTAATTTTGATTATCGTTGCAGTGGTAGAGCGTTTTTCGCTCCCACTAGTACGGCAAAATGGACATTTTGTCGGAAGACGAAATGGACGTTTTGTCGGAAGATGACACCACTTTGCCACGCGATAGCAAGAAGGGTCGAAAACGTCTGTCATCCCAGAAATCAGATGATGTCATCCCTGGTTCGTCATCTCAGTCTGGTAATGGGCAGGGACAGATAAGCCCCCGATCGCGAGCCTACCCAGAAGACTCGACTGGCCCATGGGTTGTTTACTTTCAGCCCAAAAAGAAACCTTTGAATGTAATGCAAATTACTAATGATCTGACGAAGCGGTTCTCGGCCGTGACCGAAATCTCAAAGGTGAGGTACAATAAACTTCGCGTTGTCGTCTCTAACCTGAAACAAGCTAACGAGATTGCTGCCTCCCAGCTCTTTACACTCGAGTATAGAGTGTACATCCCAGCTCGTAATGTGGAGATCGAAGGTGTGGTCACCGAAGCGAGTCTGACCCCCGAGATCTTGGCGAAGCAAGCGGTTGGCCGTTTCAAAAACCCCTTGCTTCCCACGGTTGAGATACTGGAAGTCCAGAAGCTGAACTCAGTATCTTTCAGCGAGGGTAAAAAGAGCTTTACCCCCACAGACTCGTTTCGAGTGACCTTTTCTGGTTCAGCCCTTCCTCACTACATCGAGTTGGGAAAACTTCGGCTACCTGTGCGTTTGTTTGTTCCTCGGGTCATGAACAGCCAAAACTGCAAACAGTTGGGACATACGGCCTCTCACTGTGGCAGCAAGGCACGCTGTTCTAAATGCGGGGAGAAGCACGAG